CTAGTTTCTTCACGACTTCTTGGCTGATCACGTTGGCACAACTGCCGCCATCGACGATCAACGAGAGCAAATTCCCATTAACGAGACAACGAGAATGGAACAGATTATCTCGTTGTCCTGGGTCCAGGGTCGATTCCATTGTCATTGCTCTCCTTCTGACTCCAAGAAGTTTTCCAGGAGCGGCTTCGACCTCAATTTCCTCTTCTATTTCGTCGTCCTCTGCGCTTTTCTCATCGTCGGATTCATAAGCACCATCCCGAATTACCAGAGCCTTGACGTTGGGACATTGGTTTGCTTTGTGTCCCCGACCGTGGCACTTAAAACACTGGATGCCACTTGAGCGTTCAGTGATTGCTGGAGGAACAGGTTTAGGTGCCAATTTTCCCACCTCAGGCCTTGTTTGCGTAGGAACGGTTTCATTGTTCACCTCTACTGCTGGTCTGGCCGTGGAAGAAAATCGTCGCGGTGCTGACTTCTGTTGTTGCTCGATTTTGATAGCGAGATGGACAGCCTCTTCGAGGTCCACAAAGGGTCTCAGTTCCAGCTCCATTCGGATGTCTCGATTCAATCCGTGTACAAATCGGGCAATTGTAGCTTCGCGATCCTCCCGGACGTCTGCTCGCATCAGTAGCAACTCCAATTCTCTGAAGTAGTCTTCAACAGGTCGAGCTCCTTGCCGAACTTGTTGGAGAGAATCGTATATATCGCGCTGGTAGTATCCAGGCACGAAACGGTCCCTCATGAGACCTCTCAACTCTGTCCAGGTCTCCACGTCGGGTTGCAAGTTCCGTCGCCGGCGAATTCTGATTTGCTCCCACCATTGGGCTGCATATTCCGTGAATTCATAGGTCGCCAAGAGGACCTTCTGGGCTTCGGTATAATTTCCACATTGAAAGAACAAAACCACCTTGCGCTCCCAATCGAGATAGCTTGATGCATTGTTGGAGCACGAAAAAGCTGGAACTGTCAGCTTTACTCCCCGGAGCTCTGGCAGCTGGTTCTCAGGGGGACGCCGTTCGTGGTTGTCATCACGAGGTCCAGGTTCAGCTGTAATCATTCGTCGTTCCAATTGCTGAACACGATTTACTAGGGCCTGATCAACCTCTGTGCGTACGCCTTGGATTTGATTTCCCTCTGGTACTCCCTCGTGTACAGCGTTCAGCGGCGCAGGGGCATTCGTCGTCGATTTTAATTCGGCAATTTCACGTCTGATGTTGTCGAATTGGACCTGGAAGGTCGCATTCAACTGTGCGATGATGGTTTGGAGCAATTCCGTGGTGTTGACAGACGAGTCCCCCATCGTCTGATCTTCAACCCGAGTCTCCTCTTTAGCCTCTGTTTTTCGGTGTAAAAGTGCAGGATCCTCAAAGACAGAGCCCTTTGATCTTGTCCAGCGCGTTGTTTTCGCAACTTGCGTCTCCGTCCTGTCCACTGCGTTTGAACCAGGCGATGATGCCACTTGATGAGTCCCTAAATGGTACTCGTAATTCCAGAGCGACGCAACCGAGAGTTGATGTGAGGCACAACTCTTCTTCGTACAAAACAGGGGGATTTTAGTGAGATTTTGGTGGAAGATTTCGTGCAGTTCTCACACGGGAGAAAGGCTCGATCTCTATGGTAGAAACTTGGCCACGAGCAAAATAGCAGCTCGATACAAGCTAACAATTGCTTAGAAAATCCTAAGCAATCAACCCAATTCGCCAAGCCAACAAGCAAGGAGAACCAAAGCTAACTCTGTATTCAATAATGCATAAAAACTGAAATTTACAACGAAAGATTCGACTTAAATAGACTCGAACTAATTCCTAGAAACTCATAAGGAAATCCTTGACGACTTACAACTCGAATTAACCCAAACAAACGCGGAAAAGGAATTGAAACTCAAAACAGCCTAGTAATCCCTTTCCGATACGGATTGAGATTGCTGAAACCAAAGACAGGAAAAAGACAGCTTCGACACGATCTTTGGCGGGTTCGTTCGAGGCCTTCCCAGCTTCGATCTGGTCATCCAATGCCCCGTCGTCGTAGTATGAAACTCGTAGATTGATGTAGCAAAGTCCTTTTGGATCGAGTCCCACTGATATGACACGTACTGACCTTCAAAGTCAGGTACCCAAACTGGTTTCCAGACTTGGGCAGATTTTGGCCCTTTCCCAGTTGTGACATACCATGTTGAGGGCCTTGAAAGACAATGCTCTGGGTCTTTGTTTGAGCTCCGAAGCACTCCATGGTGTAGCTCGTGACTTTATATGCACAACGAGCCTTCAAACTCGGATTTTCATCAAGCCAATAAAACGTTCCGGACGTGTAAACTGGGCAACCTGAAACAGTTAAAAGACTTGATAAAAATTCAGCATTATAATACGTAATTGAGATGGCTTCTTGCTCAACCCGTTCTGGCTTGAATATCGACCCTAATGGAATCATATCAGAGATGAGAGGTTTATCGGTTGTAGCGGTGCACCGAGTTTGGTCTCGGTTAGAAACTGGCAACCGACGGTTAGCCTAAAGCCCAAAACTAGCCCACCGACGCCGACACCGATACAAAGATATCGATTTTTTGGTTAGGTTGATAACCGCGATTTTTTGTTCGATTTTTGGTTCAACCGATTATCAGCCCTACTTACACCCATGCCACCCAGAGTAATCCTCCCCCAAATAGTATATCCAATAAGTGCCTAGCAGATATGTCTTGTTCCATATACTGAAGTTCCTTATTCCAAGGCCACTCTCTGCTTTTGGTTTTGCTAGAAGTTTCCAAGCCATTAATGCCTTTTTTCTCATTCCACCCTTTCCAGAGTTCCAAAGAAATTCATATCGGAGCTTCTCTACTTCCTCAATCACACAATGAGGCAACAAAAATAGGTTTAACCAATACTGCAAGGTATTGAAAATAACCGTGGAATTCTGTCAATGAGCACTTGACAGTCTTTCCTTGTGAGCTTACCAGTGATTAATGGGACACCATGGTACCTCACAAGTCACAAGTAGAATGCCTAAGGGGGAATTCGATATACTCATATATTGTTAACTTCTTTGCTAGAGGTATCCCTACACAGAATAGTTGACACCTGATAGGATTGCACTTCAACTCAAATAGAGCATAAAACTGATTCATTAACTTTTCGGCCCTCGCTACACCTCGAATTGGTCCATTTGTAAACGCATGTGACTTCTTTGTATCTGCATGTTTCCTCGTTAATACGAGTAATTTTTTGCGGGTTAATGGCAAGGATGGTCATTGGGTTTACTAAAACTGTTCATCTTTGGTCACTGCAAATATTTAATTCCATTCATGGTCACTAAGATTAGTTCAATAGTTCAAGTTTGGTCACTCTCCGTTAGTTTTTTGCTGATGTGGCAGTCAACTATTATAGTTGACCGTTAAATGAGTGACGTGGCCAATAAAAGAATAAAAAAAATTAAATATTTATAATTTCCACCTCATTTTACAACTATTAAAAAATAAAAATAAAACTTACCTCCGCCGTCGCCACCACGGATCTCCGATTCAGTCTCCCCTCCTCCAACTCATTGTACATAGAGCGCGTGTTCCCCTTCAAGTGATGCAGACAACAAGCGTGGAATGAAATTCATGTCATTCCACTTGCCATTTCTTTTCTCTCATTCCAAAGAGAACAATGGAAAATTTTACACCTTTTTTTCCCAGCAAGTATCATAGACAGTCTCTGAGAAGGTTCCATGCTTAAGAGAGTTACGGGTTCTGGATGGTTGAGGAAGAGGGACGATGCAGAAGTCTGTGACTATATAAAAAGTAGAAAGAAAATGAATGTTAACCATAAACAATGCAGAGAAACTTAGAAACAGTCTCCTGAAAGTTGCAAGGGAGTACAGAGGAAACGAGTTGTTTACTAACCAAGCTGGAGAGGGGACAAGCTCGGCGGAGTTATCTTCTCATCCCCATACAAGATTTGGCAGGCAAACTTGTACCTGCACAAGACCATTAAACCGGGGGGGAAAAAAACAGTCAAACCATTAGCACGACATGAACCTTTCGTCATGCCATCGAACATTGTAATGTAAAGTAGTTTCTCAGCCAGATGCTACGTTAGCTGTTATTGCATCCAAAGTTGCATAAACAACACTAGCATCTAGGTGGCTAACTTCTGGTTTCCACAGAGAATACACGATGACTATTGTTCAGCTCACATTGCAAAGCTGGTGGGTTGCCCTGAAATATATATAATCTGCACAATCGGACAAAGTTTTTGTTTTGTTTCTGCTTTAAAGTAATGGCACCCAGTTCTACTTTAATCTTTAGGTTATGTGTGACTGTGAGTGGATCAAACGACGGCAGCATAGAGCTAGAGTGCTAAAGGCTGATGCTTCGTCACTCGCACCTATCACGGGAAGAAACCTAAATTCAGGCCATGGAAACTGCGGCGGAGAAGGACCATCTACTGTGTCAAAGCCAGTCAAGCTTTCAATCTCGAGAATCCCACCAGTCCGGATCGAGTAACCTTGAATCTACTGCTTTGATCAGAGCCGTATGGCAGGAATCCAAGAACTTGTGGCTCATTGCCGGGCCCTCGATCTTCAGCCGGGTCGCCATGTTTTCATTGACGGTCGTCACCAAATCTTAGTTTTATTTTTAATAGTTGTAAAATGAAGTGAAAATTGTAAATATTTAAATTTTTTTATTTTTTTATTGGCCACGTCACTCATTTAACGGTCAACTATAATAGTTGACTGCCACATCAGCAAAACTAACGGAGACTAACGGAAAGTGACCAAACTTGAATTATTGAACTAATCTTAGTGATCATGAATAAAATTAAATATTTGCAGTGACCAAATATTAACGGTTTTAGTAAACCCAATAACCATCCTTGCAATTAACCCAATTTTTTGCATTAATTTTTTTTTTTTTTTTTGAAAATCCTTAGAGAATGGAATAAGCTATGTAGAATTTGATATGGATCCCACACGCCGGGGCTCATAGGGCACCTAGGTTTTCGGGTATTGGTCCGTGACCCATAACAGAAAACTATTAGACGACAGCAGCCCGAGCCCACGGGTTCATGGCCCAGTTAAGTATTGTCGACGATGACCCGGATGCCGACGCTCGTATTTCCATCGCTGATGCCGGACCCTCCGACGGCAACCTCGCATCCTACAGCTGTGAACTTCAGGCAGAGAACGGGAAATCAGTAAGGAAGGAGAGCTTCGCCTCGTCTGGTCATTAGCTCGTCAAGGTAATCAACACTTCAATTTGATTCCCGACAATCCAAAATTTGCTTTCGTTTTACGGACTTGGGGTTTCCCCCAACTCTATTTGCTTTCAATTATGATCGGGAAGAGTGGTACTCTTTCTTTGGAATTCGACCGCTGTTCCAGTACTTGGACCGGAAGTTCCATGTTTTTGCTTCGTTTCATTGTGTATTTTGGGATTGCTTTGAGATTCAAATTTGCATAACCTCAAGGTGTTCGACGAAATGCCTTAACTAAGCCGAGTTTAAGATTTAGTTGTGGTTCGAGAAGAGCTCTTTTTTATTGTGAGGTATGTTTATTCAGGGAGGGAATTGAACCGAATTAGTCGAACAAGTGAATACGAATGGCTGAAGTAAGCTTGGGGATTCTCATTGATATTGTGGACGACGAGTGGATGAGAGATACTCTGCCTGACGATGGTAAGCATCATCTCCGCAACACATATACTCCATTTCTTACTACACAATATTATCAAACAGTTACTTTGTGGGCCGTGGCTTTCTCCTGTCGCATTTTCTCCCTCTTGGAGCTTGCTGATTCATTAGTATGTAAAAACACCTTTTGTGATGTTGCAGATCTCCCGTTACCTCCTGTTCTGGTTGTCCGCACCGATGAGGCTGAAGAATCAAGTATGTCCTCTCCACCTTCAACCAAACTTCAATACCCTCCTTGCTCTATGCCTAATGTTGCTTGTTTCGTTTAAGAAATGAAAACACCAATGAAAGTAGTTGAAAAATAGGTTTTGCTCTTTGATCTTATGCTACAAACATGGGAAATCAGGAGCATTGAAAACCTTCATACCATTTCTGTTCTTCGCCCTTTGTCGGTTAAAACTTAAAACCAGTCACACCACCTTAGTTTGCACTTTAAGTCTTCTTCCCTCCATTCCAATCCTGCTATGTTCTGGTCCATCAAATATGATGACTGTTTCTACCAAAAAAAAAATATATATTGACGACTGTCGAGCAGCTATGTTACGAAGGAATAAAATGTTGCTGTGCTTTGGTGTGTTCATTTATCTCCATCATTTGCTTTTGGCAGATCATGAGCCTCAGCCGGTCGAGCAAGATACCTGGCATGACCTTGCCCTAGGTAGTCAATGAACCCTGAAGTCACTTACTTTGGTACGGTTGGCCATATGCGCATTTGGTTTTATGTAATTGGAGAGTGAGATCGTTCCTATTGTAAGCCCTATGCAGAAGAGGATTCATGAATTGAACTGAAACACGGCATTTGATTCCATCAAACAGGTTCATTTCCATCCATGTCTGGAGTATGTCAAGAACTTTGTTTCTTCCTTGGTGTTGATATCTAGCATGTGCATTTTGCATGTCCTTTTGCTGTTGGACTAGCTCCCTTGACCAGCTTAGCTGCAACAGTTGGCTGTAGAGGAATTTCAGAAGATCCCAACATGAATACAATGACCAAAATCTGTTCATAGTCTGACCCTCTTGACTAAACTTGACCTGACATGGGTGGGTGGGGAAGAGCAGAGCAGGCGACTAGGGTTGTATAATAATTTTAAAGACCTATTATCCTATTGCATGTCATTCTTGTTGTTTGGAATTGTTGGGTTGTTCTGCTATTGTGGTTTGAGTACGGAGTATTATGTGGATTAGGTGATTGCTTCCATCTGACTTAACCTTTTCTCTATAACAGCTTTTGGGATAATGTAAAATTTTATTCTCCGCAAAGGAGGGTGGACAAACGGATACACCAAAGAGCATGTGTGAGAGAGAGCATGTAGGGCACAGAAACTTGTTTAATTCGGAAAGGTATTTTGGACAATATTTTGAATATAGTAGCTCGGACTCGATTTGAATAATATTAGTAGCTCTAACTCCCCTTGGAAAAAAATAAATTACATGGGAGCTTGACTCGGACTTCGAATCGAGTTTTAACTTATTTTGAATATAGTAGCTCGAACTCGACTTGATAAGTAAGTTTAATTAGTTAAATTTGAGCTTAACTCATTACAACTACTCTCCAACTTAAGACTGAGGTCAAATTTTAATTCTAAACCTACTTCCTAAATATCCATAGTAACACAAAAGCAAAAGTACATTCAAGAACACCCAATCCATTTCAATTTACATTCTCACAACACCCTAACCGTTCACTCGGGAGATGGTGTTTGATATTTTGACAAATCATTGAAAGCACAAACTCGTCTCATTAATAAACGAGTTAGTTTGCAAACCAAACGAGCAAGGTACAAAATGTGTTAAACTCAACTCATAAGTAATATATTAAGTTCACGAATTTTTTCTTCTCCACAACGAGTTGAATGTGCCAGACGAGTTTTTTTCGAGTCCAGTGTCCAGACACTCATGATCAACTTGAACTTATACTTGAGTGTAGTAGCGAAGTTATCATGCTGGATAAACAAGCCCAGTATGAAGAAGAAAAAAAATGTATTGGATTTAGACTTTAGACTCGAGACAAATCTAAAGTGGGTTGTTGGGTTCAATAAACAAGAGAGGGCTATGGAATGTGGTCATGTGGATGCCAATTTTTGGTTTGAATCTCCAAAACCGCAACTCCTTTGTACGTTCTCATTTATTATGGATGTCAATAAAGTGGTGGAGCAGCTGGGTCTCAAACTCAAGTCTAAGTCTTTATGTGTGAAAGGTGGAAGGACTCCGCCGTAGCTTTTGAAGCTGGTACGATCAATTGTGACCAAAGCACCACTTGAAGTCCTACATTTATAATCCACAACCTGTGGTTCAGTTGCCTCCCATAATTATTCACCATTCCGTTAATTGACTTTGTGCAATTTGTGCATGAAAGACCTCTACCCTGTGTTTTTATAGGAAGGAAAAGGAAGGGAGGGAAAGAAATGAATGGAAAGTTGAGGTACCAATGCACTTTCCTCTGTTTTTTAAGTTTAGAACAGTGATGAAGGGAGGGAAAATGGGGGAAAGATTACTGTGGAATCCAACCCTCCAAAATGGAGAGAAAACGACCCACTAACAGCCATTTTGTTTACTTTATTTGTCATCTCTCTTCTCTCTCGTCTCTTTTATGTATCTTCTCACCCATTATTAATTGTAGTGACCTCTCTTTTATGTATCTTCTCACCCATTATTAATTGTAGTGAGTTATAGATAAAAATGTCTAGTAGAAAAACGTGCATAATTTATTGGGTTTTATTACAATGAGAAAGGGAGCATAAAAAATTATAACAAGATGGTGAGTTATAGATAATGATAGGAATAAGTAAATTTGCTTATCTATTTCCGTTGAAAATTGGTATTGATCCTTATAATTAAAATAATGGTCCCTAGGTCATATTTTGTGGTGACTTGATATGAAAAATTACGCATCAATATAATGTAATGAAATTTTTAGTTTGAATTCACATTGTTTTTGCAGCTCATCTAGGGCTGTGCGCAATGGTCCGGACCGCATCGGATCAAACAAACGTTTGGATCGAATGACACCAAACATATTATAATGTGGTCCGATTCCTAGTCACATGAATTTTATAATTGTTAAAGAAAATGGATTGAATTAATATTTGGATCAGACCAAGCCAGACCAAATGAGTGATTTACATCACGTATAACGTTGTTTTACGCTATACCTAAAATGTTACGTTGCTAGTAGAAACGACATCAAAGTTTGAAATTTTTATAGAATGAATGTTAGGGAGGGGCTAGTGTGATTTGTTGTATGTTTCCGATTTTAGTTGTTATGTTGACGAATCAATAAAATGGAGACAAAATTTTAACAATAAGTTCATAAAAAAATTCAAACCATCTACTTTTGATTTTTAATAGTGAACAAAATTAGCAAGAAATTACAAATTTAATTCACAATTCATAACTAATGAAAATAATATCAACATATAATCAAATTATTTTACTATTATATACCCAATAAAATAACATATCTGTCACATTTCCCTATACACATTTTCTTTCCCACTTTCCTCCATAAAACACCATTTTCCTTCCAATTTCCTTCACCTCCAAATCTCCCCTCCCCTCCTAATTTTCCTTCACCTCCCCTCCTTTTCCTCCCTTCCTTCGTAAACAGAGGGCTAATCTTTGCTTTTTAAAATATTACACTACATTTATTTTCCGTTAACTGCAATTTGTGCATGAAAGAGCTCATCATTGGGATGTAACTCAATGATGATAAAGATATTGACTTTGAACAAATAGAGTCTCTATTTAAATATCATTTATGCCACTGTAAAGAATACCCACCTATGTGAAGTAACGAGACTTGACAAATCATATGGCAGTTAAGGTTACGCAAGTCAGAAGTTTGATTTGAGAAAGGGATGATGGATGAAGAAAATTGAGGTGTTGGAGAAAGAGGAGTAGAACGAGTAAGAACATGAACGGGTCGGAGAAGCGTAACCGGAGCACAATCATACTCTAATTATTTTTCTTACTGACTTCCATTCTTCAACCAATAACAAGAGATATATCCTTCCAAAAGACCCACTAATCCCACCCTCTTTCTTCGTTTCGGTTGCCTCTCATTTTTTTGATTATTCTCAATTGACGTTAAGTGACGGTTTTAACTAATTTGATGTAAAATAAGTAATTTGATATATGTATTTCACTAAGGAATCCACCCCATATGTTTGACTCACCTGGCACTAAAATCAAGTGCACTATCTATTTAACTGGGATTTATGTTGATTTCAAGGATGTGTGTTTATGGATCAAGCAAACTGTAACCTGATAGTGAATGGTGTTAAACAAGAATTTGGCACTGAAAGGGACAAGAGAATGTGAAGCAGGAATCAAGGATGTGGATTAGACAAAACCCAAACATAAAACGACAGAAGCAAGAGCCTCATATATTCAACAAACATCTGAACTCAATGCGTGGCGGGTGGGGTAATTAAGCATGTGGATTAAGCCCACCCAGTTTGTGTTTTGTTGTGTTGGTTTTCCCTTTTGGCGATGATTAAGACTCTCCTAACCAAAGCGCTAAACGACGCATTAATATTCAGCAAAAGGCAAACGCAGCAGCAGCCCCGCCCGTAGGTAAAGTACAACTACGTAAGACCAAGTAGTAATTAGCGCTAATCCTTTTCCTTAATTACCAAATAAAGCGGCCTGCCCGATTGTTTATCCCTGTTCTTTTCCTTTTTCTAACCGGGTAGTTATCATAAATGGTCACAAACCTATTCACTTTGTACAAAACGGTCACAATCCTTTAATTTTGCACGTTTCGGTAATAAAAGTTTGAGCAAATAACAAAATAGTAAATCCGTCCAATTCCGTCCAAAACTCCGTCCCTAATCGCCCTGTCAGCATGACACGTCGGTGTAAATAATAATAAAAAAACCAGTGTCCATTAAACCGTACCGTACCGGCGGTTCAACCACGAAATATCAGTATCGGAGGCTAAACCGATATGCGGTATTTACCGATATAACGGTTGAACTACGGTTAAACCACGGTTTTACCATAAAATACCCTACCGCTAACCTTCCCGGTACGATCTCCGGTACGGTTTCATGGACCATGAAAAAAACTGACTAATCAAACCCACATAACCAGACTATCCAACCAGCCAGATTAAATCCTCCGCCGTGGGGTCGTCTCCTTCTCTCCCCCTAGGGTTTCTCCTTCTACTCCATCTTCCGATCATCTGTTCATAATCAGTTCTCTTACATCGCCAGATTGTAGAGAGCCTTTTTGGTACGGACGCAACGAGTGTATATCGGCTTATGAATCTGTAGGAAGGTTTCGTTTTCTCTTCATGGCGACGGCACCGGTGAAACCACAGCCGAAGTCGCTCCACAACTTCCCTGTCTTGATGAAATGGGGCAAAACCGCCACGCTCGCCGCTAGAGGAAGCAACAGCTCTGGGCGTCGTCCTGCTCCACCGCCGCTACCGAACGAGTCGGAATCGGATTCCGATCCTGATGCTTTCCGAAGACAGCACCGTCGGCCACCTCCTCCGTCTGATGGTGCTTTGCGGCTCCTCATCGGGTCGATCCCGATCCGCCAGGCAGCAGCGGTTCGAGCATACTCTCGAAGCCGAGGCCAAAGCAGGAGACTGCGACGGTGCTCTAGAAGCCATCGGCGGCGATGGAGTAGACGGAGGAGCAGCTGCGGAAGTAGCCGATGGCAAGAGAATCTCGATTTGGGGTAATAGTTCAATTCGGGACCGGATGGGTAAAGGTTTTAATCTGGCCGGTTGGATAGTCTGGTTATGTGGGTTTGATTAGTCATTTTTTTATTATTATTTACACCGACGTGTCATGCTGACGGGGCGATTAGGGACGGAGTTTTGGACGGAATCGGACGGATTTACTATTTTGTTATTTGCTCAAACTTTTATTACCGAAACGTGCAAAATTAAAGGATTGTGACCATTTTGTACAAAATGAATAGGTTTGTGACCATTTATGATAACTACCCTTTTCTAACCTTTACTATCCAACCAAAATTAGCAATAGCTGAGCTTTCACTGCTTCCAAATTACATTTAACTCCCTCACCAATCCAACTCAAGTGGGCTCCAGTAGTAAGACTTCCCAGTCCCTCGGCCCAAGGGAACTCAACGGCCCATAGTCCATTTACCTTCATCACACGTAACACCATCCCTCCACCATAATGGCCTTCACGCCCGGTTCAGACAACGGTCGGGCCGACAACCGTCCGATCTCCGCTAAGGGGACCCACCCCTTCGACGAGTCAACAACGAATCCAACCAGC